ATAAGTAATTGTAAACTGTAATCTTGTTTCATCTTCTAAGTTTATACAGAAAGCCATTGTGCATGATTTATAAGCACAGTATCCCTGTATTCTTAAAAGAAAGGTATTTCTTTTTCTTACTTTGGCTTGACTTAAAATGTGGTTTTTAAAAACAATTACACAGTAAGGATTAGATTTTTTAATTTTATCAACAAATGTTTTTTGCCAAGTGTACTTTTGAAAGTATTTACCAGCTCTTTTGGCATTTAAGAATGTCCACTCCTCTTGGGTAAGGGTAAAATCTGAGTTTTCTGGGGCAAAGGTTTTAAATTCTCCAAAAGATGCATTTTTTGAAAGAATGCACCTCAAAGTTTCCTCAGAAATGAATTTGTTTTCTTCTCTCACTGGTTCAATGGCACCCTTAGTTAAAATAAGAGCTTCTTCTGAGGGCATTTTTTTTAAATCGTTAAATGAACTGAAATTTTGAAATTGAGACACACAGCTATTACTAGGAAATTGTGTCTTGTAATTCTCTGTTTCAAAGCCATGTCTGGTGTTGTTTACTTCTGTTACGTGGTCCATGTGTACCGTGTCTGTTTTAGGGTCTGTGGGTTCTATGTTTTGTCCTGTTCCATGGTCCATGTGTACTGTGTCTGTTTTAGGATCTATGGGTTCTATGTTTTGTCCTGTTCCATGGTCCATGTGTACCACGTCTGTTTCAGAGTCTATGAGATCTATATTTTGTCCTGTTCCAAGGTCCTTGTGTATCAGGTCTGCTTCACATTCTGTGTGTTTCATGTCTTGATGCATGTTGCCATGTTCTCCATCTTGTTGAGGTTTCTTTTTGCCCTTTTCCATTTCACTGTGCACTAACAGCTTATGTGTTACATAGTCTTTGTGTTCATTCTCACTTTTCAAAATAAACCCTTTTCTTAAAGTTACAATTTGCAATTTGCATGATGTGGCAGAACAAATATAGCCTACATTCTCAAAATCTAAATATTTATCATTAGAAATGCCTATGCAATCAAAGTGATACCACTGATTGCAAATATCACAAGCGATCATGGGTTGATTGTTTTTTTTAGAAGATTTACAAATACAATACTGTTTTGTTGCAAGTGCCTCTGAAGAAAAATCAGTGTCATGTAACTTTTTACCAACTTTCTTTTTGGGTCTCTTATTCCCTACATTTGGTTCCTTTGAAAATTTTTGAATTTCTGTTGTAGAACTTGAACATGTGTCATTGTGTAACCCAAATGTTTGTGTGGATATATTGCTATTTAGTGTTTCAACTAGTTTGTGAATATCGTTCCTGTTTTCATTCCATATTTGACGAAGTAACTTTACACTACGTTTTGCTGCTTCTGGGCGACTAAATGGCCAAGACAGAAACTTAGCAACATCTTTCCAAAATCCATAATCCAGCTCTTTATGCATATTTGACTCCCTAACAGAACATATGGCTTTTGCAATTTCAAAATATTCTAAGGTTGCATGCTTTTTTCCTTTAAATGATTTATGTTTAATGGCTTCCACTTGGACATTGCTTTTACTCGGTGTGCCACCTAACAGTTTTTTTACAGAATAGTAAAACTTTTTCTGACCTGCACTCCTCCTGCTGTCCTGCCTCTCCTCACCTTCACCTTTCTCACCTGCTCTCCTCCTGCTGTCCTGCCTCTCCTCACCTTCACCTTTCTCACCTGCTCTCCTCCTGCTGTCCTGCCTCTCCTCACCGTCACTTTTCTCACCTGCTCTCCTCCTGCTGTCCTGCTTCTCC